AGGGGAGGGGGGGTACTGCAGAGGGAGGGGGGGTACTGGCAGAGGGGGGGCACTGGCAGAGGGGAGGGGGGTACTGGCAGAGGGGGGGCACTGGCAGAGGGGGGGCACTGGCAGAGGGGGGGGCACTGGCAGAGGGGTGGGGGGGTTACTGGCAGAGGGGGGGCACTGGCAGAGGGGGGGGCACTGGCAGAGGGGGGGGCACTGGCAGAGGGGGGGGCACTGGCAGAGGGGAGGGGGTACTGGCAGAGGGGGGGCACTGGCAGAGGGGAGGGGGGGTACTGGCAGAGGGGGGGGCACTGGCAAAGTTCAGATTGAACGATCAGGTCATGAAGGCGGTGCATTAAGATACTGTCCTCTGCGCCTATGCAGGCGCTAACCTTTAGCATCCAGGCGCTAACCTTTAGCATCCAGGCGCTAACCTTTAGCATCCAGGCGCTAACCTTTAGCATCCAGGCGCTAACCTTTAGCATCCAGGCGCTAACCTTTAGCATCCAGGCGCTAACCTTTAGCATCCAGGCGCTAACCCTAACCTCCAGATGAATATGCTGAGAAATGAAACATTAGGCAAACACTGCTAGCACTCTCGCTTCTCAGTAAGAAGTTCCTGGGTTCGAATCCCGGTCAGAACAGGGCTTCTCTGAGTGGAGTTTGCATGTTCTCCCTGTGTCTGCTCTGGTTTCCCCTACCACTAAAAACATGTGCAATAGTCTGAATGTAATGAGTGGATGGTGTTTGGTCGGAGGCTTTGATGGACCAGTGTGTTCTGTCTCTTCATCAGTGACCTCAGACTGCAGCAAGAAGGAAAATATGAATTATAAATGTAGCAGCTCTAAGGTCTCTCTGAGCAGCTCTAAGGTCTCTCTGGGCTGGGCAGCTCTAGGGTCTCTCTGGACAGCTCTAAGGTCTCTCTGGGCAGCTCTAAGGTCTCTCTGGCAGCTCTAAGGTCTCTCTGGACAGCTCTAAGGTCTCTCTGGGCAGCTCTAAGGGTCTCTCTGGGCAGCTCTAAGGTCTCTCTGGGCAGCTCTAAGGTCTCTCTGGCAGCTCTAAGGTCTCTCTCTGGGCAGCTGTAAGGTCTCTCTGGCAGCTGTAAGGTCTCTCTGGGCAGCTCTAAGGTCTCTCTGGGCAGCTCTAAGGTCTCTCTGGGCAGCTCTAAGGTCTCTCTGGGCAGCTCTAAAGGTCTCTCTGGGCAGCTCTAAGGTCTCTCTGGGCAGCTCTAAGGTCTCTCTGGGCAGCTCTAAGGTCTCTCTGGGCAGCTCTAAGGTCTCTCTGGGCAGCTCTAAGGTCTCTCTGGCAGCTCTAAGGTCTCTCTGGGCTGGGCAGCTCTAAGGTCTCTCTGGGCAGCTCTAAGGTCTCTCTGGGCAGCTCTAAGGTCTCTCTGGGCAGCTCTAAGGTCTCTCTGGGCAGCTCTAAGGTCTCTCTGGGCAGCTGTAAGGTCTCTCTGGGCAGCTCTAAGGTCTCCTCTGGGCAGCTCTAAGGTCTCTCTGGGCAGCTGTAAGGTCTCTCTGGGCAGCTGTAAGGTCTCTCTGGGCAGCTCTAAGGTCTCTCTGGGCAGCTGTAAGGTCTCTCTGAGCAGCTGTAAGGTCTCTCTGGGCAGCTGTAAGGTCTCTCTGGGCAGCTCTAAGGTCTCTCTGGGCAGCTCTAAGGTCTCTCTGGGCAGCTCTAAGGTCTCTCTGGGCAGCTCTAAGGTCTCTCTGGGCAGCTGTAAGGTCTCTCTGAGCAGCTGTAAGGTCTCTCTGGGCAGCTCTAAGGTCTCTCTGGGCAGCAGTAAGGTCTCTCTGAAGCAGCTGTAAGGTCTCTCTGAGCAGCTGTAAGGTCTCTCTGGGCAGCTGTAAGGTCTCTCTGGGCAGCAGTAAGGTCTCTCTGGGCAGCTCTAAGGTCTCTCTGGGCAGCTCTAAGGTCTCTCTGGGCAGCTCTAAGGTCTCTCTGGGCAGCTGTAAGGTCTCTCTGGGCAGCTGTAAGGTCTCTCTGAGCAGCTGTAAGGTCTCTCTGGGCAGCTGTAAGGTCTCTCTGAGCAGCTCTAAGGTCTCTCTGGGCAGCTGTAAGGTCTCTCTGAGCAGCTGTAAGGTCTCTCCTGGGCAGCTCTAAGGTCTCTCTGGGCAGCTGTAAGGTCTCTCTGGGCAGCTGTAAGTCTCTCTGAGCAGCTGTAAGGTCTCTCTGGGCAGCTCTAAGGTCTCTCTGGGCAGCTGTAAGGTCTCTCTGGGCAGCTGTAAGGTCTCTCTGGGCAGCTCTAAGGTCTCTCTGGGCAGCTGTAAGGTCTCTCTGGGCAGCAGTAAGGTCTCTCTGGGCAGCTCTAAGGTCTCTCTGGGCAGCTGTAAGGTCTCTCTGGGCAGCTCTAAGGTCTCTCTGGGCAGCTGTAAGGTCTCTCTGGGCAGCTCTAAGGTCTCTCTGGGCAGCTGTAAGGTCTCTCTCCTCTCTCTGCCAAAGCCAAAGCCTCCTCTTTGTTAGCGTCTGTGGTTTTGTTAGATCTGAATCAGAATAAAGCTCTTTGGCTCGTGCTGAGCAAAGAGTTTAAGAAGCAAAGACTTTGACCTGGAATAAAAATATCACCGTCTTCTTCTTCCTCTGTTTGTGTTTTTCTCCTTCTCCTCATTTTGTGTTCTGCAGATAAAGCTCTTCTCTTTAGAGGCTTAATTAAGATTTGCTTTTTGAGAACTCTGAGCTATGGTCGAGGCGTGTGGATTTCCCTGGCGTTGGTTTCCACAAAGGCCCGAGGATAACGTCTGCGCGATAACGAGCGGCGGCAGAAATGTCACGCTTAAATCCAGACGCACAAAGAGGTCTCATCTCGCTTTGTTACGAGATCCCCCCAAACTGCAACGACGGAGACGAGCGGATACATATTCATCAGCTTTACCCGCCGCTCAGCCGCCAAGGCGACGGAGACAGATCAGACACTCGCAGGTTCAAAGGCCAGAGTTCAGGAAGAACCATGAAGACGATACTGTCTCTGCAGAGTTCACATCTCCCAAAACAGAAACAGGCCGAGAATAATGTCCAATAGTATTCAATAAGATCACATGAAGAAGAATAATGTCCAATAGTATTCAATAAGATCACATGAAGAAGAATAATGTCCAATAGTATTCAATAAGATCACATGAAGAAGAATAATGTCCAATAGTATTCAATAAGATCACATGAAGAAGAATAATGTCCAATAGTATTCAATAAGATCACATGAAGAAGAATAATGTCCAATAGTATTCAATAAGATCTCTCTCTCTCTCTCTCTCTCTCTCATCTCTCTCTCTCTCTCTCTCTCTCTCTCTCTCTCTCTCTCTCTCTCTCTCTCTCTCTCTCTCTCTCCTCTCTCTCTCTCTCTCTCTCTCTCCTCTCTCTCTCTCTCTCTCTCTCTCTCTCTCTCTCTCTCTCTCCTCTCTCTCTCTCTACTCTCTCTCTCTCTCTCTCTCTCTCTCTCGTTAGCAGCCCTTGTTTACAGTCACGGGGAATGAGGCTCGAGGAATATGTTCACAAGCAGTCTCCCCCCATAGTTAGCTCTGGTGAAATCCTGGTTTAGTCCTGGTTTATCTCCTGTTTTGTGTCCCCATGGCGGCTCAGTGGGGCCGCTCTCTGATCTCTCTGATCTCTTGGGTCTCCGTGTCCACTGCCTCTGCCACAGCGCACATGCCTCGCACAGACGTGCATTACCATCGACACGGCATTGAAAAACAATCTTTAGATCCAAGGACGCTACGCATTGTGCGGTTGTTGTTTTTGCATTTCAAAGAAAGTTTTGCAGTTCACGCTTGGCTGCGATAGGTTGAGAAGCCTCTGCCTACATCCCCCAGAATGCAGCGCGCCTCTGACTCGGCTTTACTTCCTGTGTTTTCGTCCTGTTTTTTCTTACGGATTGATGTTAAACTAACATTCTATCGACTCCGTTTTCTATTGATATCGAACACGTGTCTATCGCAATATATCTGTCGTTTTATTGCCCAGCCCTAGTTTTACATTGTATTTAGTTTACGGCAGCCGTAAAGCGTGAGCTGCTGAAAACTGACGTAAATCGTGACAAAATACCCATATCGGCCCCGATACCGAATATCAGATCAGTGCAGACACACAGACACACACAGACACACACAGACACACACAGACACACAGACAGACACAGACACACACACACACAGACACACACAGACACACAGACAGACACAGACACACACACACACAGACACACACAGACAGACAGACACACACAGACACACCACACACACACAGACAGACACACAGACAGACACACACACACACACACTGACAGACACAGACACACACAGACACACACACACAGACACACAGACAGACACAGACACACACAGACACACACAGACACACACAGACACAGACACACACACACACAGACACACAGACAGACACAGACACACACAGACACACACAGACACACACACAGACACACACAAACACACACACAGACACACACACAGACACACACACAGACACACACACACACACACACACAGACACACACAGACAGACACAGACACACACACACACACACACACACAGACACAGACACACACACACACACACACACACACACACACACACAGACACACACACACACACAGACACACACACACACACAGACACAGACACACACACAGACACACACAGACACACAGACACAGACACAGACACACACACAGACACACACAGACACAGACACACACAGACAGACAGACACACACAGACACAGACAGACACACAAACACACACAGACACAGACACACACAGACACAGACACACACAGACACAGACACACACAGACACACACAGACACAGACACACACACACACAGACACACACTTCAGAGGGCCCTTTGCAGCTTCAAACATATATATTTTTCATTAAAGATGAAGTTGATGCGACAGCGGCTCAACGCAGAGAATCAGGATTATTCTGAGTGACACAGCAATTAGTCCATAATCTGAGGAGGAGGAGGAGGAGGAGCCAAAGGAGGAACCAGAGGAGGAGGAGGAGCCAGAGGAGGAGGAGGAGGAGGAGCCAGAGGAGGAGGCGGAGGAGGAGGGGGCAGAGGAGGAGCCAGAGGAGGAGGAGGAGGAGGAGGGGGCAGAGGAGGAGCCAGGAGGAGGAGGGGAGGCTGAGGAGGAACCAGAGAGGTGAGAGGAGGAGGAGCCAGAGGAGGCAGAGGAGCCAGAGGAGGCAGAGGAGGAGGCAGAGGAGGAACCAGAGGAGGAGGAGGAGGAGGAGGCAGAGGAGGAGCCAGAGGAGGAGGAGGAGGAGGAGGCAGAGGAGGAACCAGAGGAGGAGGAGGAGGAGGAGCCAGAGGAGGCAGAGGAGCCAGAGGAGGCAGAGGAGAAGCCAGAGGAGGAGCCAGAGGAAGCAGAGGAGCCTAGAGGAGCAGGGAGCCTGAGGAGGCAGAGGGAGAGACAAGAGAGGAGCCAGAGGGGAGGAGCCAGAGGAAGAGAGAGGCAGAGGAGGATCCAGAGGAGGAAACCAGAGAGAGGCCAGAGAGGAGGAGCCAGAAGTGACAGTGGAGGAGCGAGGAGCCAGAGAGAGAGCCAGAGAGAGAGACCAGAGAGAGAGCCAGAGAGAGGACAGAGAGAGACCAGAGAGAGACCAGAGAGAGACCAGAGAGAGGCCAGAGAGAGACCAGAGAGAGAGCCAGAGAGAGACCAGAGAGAGACCAGAGAGAGGCCAGAGAGAGAGCCAGAGAGAGGCCAGAGAGAGACCAGAGAGAGAGCCAGAGAGAGACCAGAGAGAGGACCAGAGAGAGACCAGAGAGAGACCAGAGAGAGACCAGAGAGAGAGCCAGAGAGAGAGACCAGAGAGAGACCAGAGAGAGCCAGAGAGAGACCAGAGAGAGAGCCAGAGAGAGAGCCAGAGAGAGACCAGAGAGAGAGACCAGAGAGAGACCAGAGAGAGACCAGAGAGAGGACCAGAGAGAGGACCAGAGAGAGAGCCAGAGAGAGACCAGAGAGAGACCAGAGAGAGAGAGAGACCAGAGAGAGCCAGAGAGAGACCAGAGAGAGAGCCAGAGAGAGACCAGAGAGAGAGACCAGAGAGAGACCAGAGAGAGACCAGAGAGAGAGCCAGAGAGAGACCAGAGAGAGACCAGAGAGAGACCAGAGAGAGACCAGAGAGAGACCAGAGAGAGAGACCAGAGAGAGACCAGAGAGAGACCAGAGAGAGAGACCAGAGAGAGACCAGAGAGAGACCAGAGAGAGACCAGAGAGAGACCAGAGAGAGACCAGAGAGAGAGACCAGAGAGAGACCAGAGAGAGACCAGAGAGAGAGCCAGAGAGAGACCAGAGAGAGAGACCAGAGAGAGACCAGAGAGAGACCAGAGAGAGAGACCAGAGAGAGACCAGAGAGAGACCAGAGAGAGACCAGAGAGAGACCAGAGAGAGACCAGAGAGAGAGCCAGAGAGAGAGACCAGAGAGAGACCAGAGAGAGAGCCAGAGAGAGACCAGAGAGAGAGCCAGAGAGAGACCAGAGAGAGACCAGAGAGAGACCAGAGAGAGAGCCAGAGAGAGGACCAGAGAGAGACCAGAGAGAGACCAGAGAGAGACCAGAGAGAGACCAGAGAGAGACCAGAGAGAGAGCCAGAGAGAGAGACCAGAGAGAGACCAGAGAGAGAGACCAGAGAGAGAGCCAGAGAGAGAGCCAGAGAGAGACCAGAGAGAGAGCCAGAGAGAGACCAGAGAGAGACCAGAGAGAGAGACCAGAGAGAGACCAGAGAGAGAGACCAGAGAGAGAGAGCCAGAGAGAGACCAGAGAGAGACCAGAGAGAGACCAGAGAGAGGACCAGAGAGAGAGCCAGAGAGAGAGCCAGAGAGAGACCAGAGAGAGAGACCAGAGAGAGACCAGAGAGAGGACCAGAGAGAGAGACCAGAGAGAGACCAGAGAGAGACCAGAGAGAGACCAGAGAGAGACCAGAGAGAGACCAGAGAGAGAGACCAGAGAGAGAGCCAGAGAGAGAGCCAGAGAGAGAGCCAGAGAGAGAGCCAGAGAGAGACCAGAGAGAGACCAGAGAGAGGCCAGAGAGAGACCAGAGAGAGAGCCAGAGAGAGAGACCAGAGAGAGACCAGAGAGAGACCAGAGAGAGACCAGAGAGAGAGACCAGAGAGAGACCAGAGAGAGACCAGAGAGAGACCAGAGAGAGACCAGAGAGAGAGACCAGAGAGAGAGACCAGAGAGAGACCAGAGAGAGACCAGAGAGAGAGCCAGAGAGAGAGCCAGAGAGAGACCAGAGAGAGACCAGAGAGAGAGGCCAGAGAGAGACCAGAGAGAGAGACCAGAGAGAGACCAGAGAGAGAGACCAGAGAGAGACCAGAGAGAGACCAGAGAGAGAGACCAGAGAGAGACCAGAGAGAGCCAGAGAGAGACCAGAGAGAGACCAGAGAGAGACCAGAGAGAGACCAGAGAGAGACCAGAGAGAGAGCCAGAGAGAGACCAGAGAGAGACCAGAGAGAGGCCAGAGAGAGACCAGAGAGAGAGCCAGAGAGAGAGCCAGAGAGAGACCAGAGAGAGACCAGAGAGAGAGACCAGAGAGAGACCAGAGAGAGGCCAGAGAGAGACCAGAGAGAGAGACCAGAGAGAGAGCCAGAGAGAGACCAGAGAGAGACCAGAGAGAGACCAGAGAGAGACCAGAGAGAGACCAGAGAGAGAGCCAGAGAGAGAGCCAGAGAGAGACCAGAGAGAGACCAGAGAGAGACCAGAGAGAGACCAGAGAGAGGCCAGAGAGAGACCAGAGAGAGCCAGAGAGAGGACCAGAGAGAGACCAGAGAGAGAGACCAGAGAGAGACCAGAGAGAGACCAGAGAGAGACCAGAGAGAGACCAGAGAGAGAGCCAGAGAGAGACCAGAGAGAGACCAGAGAGAGAGACCAGAGAGAGACCAGAGAGAGAGCCAGAGAGAGACCAGAGAGAGACCAGAGAGAGACCAGAGAGAGGACCAGAGAGAGACCAGAGAGAGAGCCAGAGAGAGCCAGAGAGAGAGCCAGAGAGAGACCAGAGAGAGAGCCAGAGAGAGAGCCAGAGAGAGAGCCAGAGAGAGGCCAGAGAGAGACCAGAGAGAGACCAGAGAGAGGCCAGAGAGAGAGCCAGAGAGAGACCAGAGAGAGAGCCAGAGAGAGCCAGAGAGAGCCAGAGAGAGGACCAGAGAGAGAGCCAGAGAGAGAGACCAGAGAGAGAGACCAGAGAGAGGCCAGAGAGAGACCAGAGAGAGAGCCAGAGAGAGACCAGAGAGAGAGACCAGAGAGAGACCAGAGAGAGAGCCAGAGAGAGACCAGAGAGAGGCCAGAGAGAGAGCCAGAGAGAGACCAGAGAGAGAGCCAGAGAGAGACCAGAGAGAGAGCCAGAGAGAGACCAGAGAGAGACCAGAGAGAGAGCCAGAGAGAGGACCAGAGAGAGGACCAGAGAGAGAGACCAGAGAGAGACCAGAGAGAGGACCAGAGAGAGACCAGAGAGAGAGAGCCAGAGAGAGCCAGAGAGAGGCCAGAGAGAGAGCCAGAGAGAGAGCCAGAGAGAGAGACCAGAGAGAGCCAGAGAGAGAGCCAGAGAGAGACCAGAGAGAGAGCCAGAGAGAGGACCAGAGAGAGAGCCAGAGAGAGAGCCAGAGAGAGAGACCAGAGAGAGACCAGAGAGAGAGCCAGAGAGAGAGCCAGAGAGAGAGCCAGAGAGAGAGCCAGAGAGAGGACCAGAGAGAGACCAGAGAGAGGCCAGAGAGAGACCAGAGAGAGAGCCAGAGAGAGGCCAGAGAGAGACCAGAGAGAGAGCCAGAGAGAGAGCCAGAGAGAGAGCCAGAGAGAGAGCCAGAGAGAGAGCCAGAGAGAGAGCCAGAGAGAGAGCCAGAGAGAGAGCCAGAGAGAGAGCCAGAGAGAGAGCCAGAGAGAGAGCCAGAGAGAGAGCCAGAGAGAGAGCCAGAGAGAGAGCCAGAGAGAGGACCAGAGAGGAGACCAGAGAGAGAGCCAGAGAGAGAGGCCAGAGAGAGGAGCCAGAGAGAGGCCAGAGAGAGAGCCAGAGAGAGAGACCAGAGAGAGAGACCAGAGAGAGAGCCAGAGAGAGAGCCAGAGAGAGAGCCAGAGAGAGAGCCAGAGAGAGGCCAGAGAGAGAGCCAGAGAGAGGCCAGAGAGAGAGCCAGAGAGAGACCAGAGAGAGAGACCAGAGAGAGAGCCAGAGGAGAGACCAGAGAGAGAGCCAGAGAGAGAGCCAGAGAGAGAGGACCAGAGAGAGACCAGAGAGAGAGCCAGAGAGAGGCCAGAGAGAGACCAGAGAGAGACCAGAGAGAGGACCAGAGAGAGACCAGAGAGAGAGCCAGAGAGAGCCAGAGAGAGGCCAGAGAGAGACCAGAGAGAGAGGCCAGAGAGAGAGCCAGAGAGAGGACCAGAGAGAGGCCAGAGAGAGAGCCAGAGAGAGACCAGAGAGAGAGCCAGAGAGAGCCAGAGAGAGGCCAGAGAGAGAGCCAGAGAGAGACCAGAGAGAGAGCCAGAGAGAGAGCCAGAGAGAGAGCCAGAGAGAGGCCAGAGAGAGAGCCAGAGAGAGGACCAGAGAGAGAGCCAGAGAGAGACCAGAGAGAGAGCCAGAGAGAGGACCAGAGAGAGAGCCAGAGAGAGAGCCAGAGAGAGAGCCAGAGAGAGAGCCAGAGAGAGAGCCAGAGAGAGAGCCAGAGAGAGAGCCAGAGAGAGAGCCAGAGAGAGCCAGAGAGAGGACCAGAGAGAGAGCCAGAGAGAGAGCCAGAGAGAGGCCAGAGAGAGAGCCAGAGAGAGAGCCAGAGAGAGCCAGAGAGAGACCAGAGAGAGAGCCAGAGAGAGAGCCAGAGAGAGAGCCAGAGAGAGAGGCCAGAGAGAGAGCCAGAGAGAGAGCCAGAGAGAGACCAGAGAGAGAGCCAGAGAGAGAGCCAGAGAGAGAGCCAGAGAGAGAGCCAGAGAGAGAGCCAGAGAGAGAGCCAGAGAGAGAGCCAGAGAGAGAGCCAGAGAGAGGACCAGAGAGAGGACCAGAGAGAGCCAGAGAGAGAGCCAGAGAGAGAGCCAGAGAGAGGCCAGAGAGAGGCCAGAGAGAGAGGCCAGAGAGAGAGACCAGAGAGAGAGCCAGAGGAGAGACCAGAGAGAGGCCAGAGAGAGAGACCAGAGAGAGGAGAGGAGAGAGAGCCAGAGAGAGGAGCCAGAGAGAGAGCCAGAGAGAGGACCAGAGAGAGAGCCAGAGAGAGCCAGAGAGAGAGCCAGAGAGAGAGCCAGAGAGAGACCAGAGAGAGAGCCAGAGAGAGAGCCAGAGAGAGAGCCAGAGAGAGAGCCAGAGAGAGGCCAGAGAGAGCAGAGAGGCCAGAGAGAGAGCCAGAGAGAGACCAGAGAGAGGACCAGAGAGAGAGCCAGAGAGAGAGCCAGAGAGAGAGCCAGAGAGAGAGCCAGAGAGAGGCCAGAGAGAGAGCCAGAGAGAGCCAGAGAGAGGACCAGAGAGAGGACCAGAGAGAGAGCCAGAGAGAGAGCCAGAGAGAGAGCCAGAGAGAGAGCCAGAGAGAGGACCAGAGAGAGAGCCAGAGAGAGGCCAGAGAGAGAGCCAGAGAGAGAGCCAGAGAGAGGCCAGAGAGAGAGCCAGAGAGAGGCCAGAGAGAGAGCCAGAGAGAGAGCCAGAGAGAGAGCCAGAGAGAGAGCCAGAGAGAGGCCAGAGAGAGAGCCAGAGAGAGAGCCAGAGAGAGAGCCAGAGAGAGAGCCAGAGAGAGAGCCAGAGAGAGAGCCAGAGAGAGAGCCAGAGAGGAGCCAGAGAGAGAGCCAGAGAGAGGGCCAGAGAGAGAGCCAGAGAGAGAGCCAGAGAGAGAGCCAGAGAGAGAGCCAGAGAGAGGCCAGAGAGAGCCAGAGAGAGGCCAGAGAGAGAGCCAGAGAGAGAGCCAGAGAGAGAGCCAGAGAGAGAGCCAGAGAGAGGCCAGAGAGAGCCAGAGAGAGAGCCAGAGAGAGAGCCAGAGAGAGACCAGAGAGAGGCCAGAGAGAGAGCCAGAGAGAGAGCCAGAGAGAGAGCCAGAGAGAGAGCCAGAGAGAGACCAGAGAGAGAGACCAGAGAGAGAGCCAGAGAGAGAGCCAGAGAGAGAGACCAGAGAGAGAGCCAGAGAGAGAGCCAGAGAGAGGCCAGAGAGAGGCCAGAGAGAGGCCAGAGAGAGAGCCAGAGAGAGGCCAGAGAGAGGCCAGAGAGAGAGCCAGAGAGAGGCCAGAGAGAGGCCAGAGAGAGAGGCCAGAGAGAGAGCCAGAGAGAGAGCCAGAGAGAGGCCAGAGAGAGAGAGCCAAGAGAGGAGCCAGAGGAGCAGAGGAGCCAGAGAGAGGCCAGAGAGGAGGCCAGAGAGGAGGCCAGAGGAGACCAGAGAGAGCCAGAGGAGAGCCAGAGGAGAGCCAGAGGAGGCAGAGGAGCCAGAGGAGGCAGAGAGAGAGGAGCCAGAGAGAGACAGAGAGAGCCAGAGAGAGTCAGAGAGGAGGAGCCAGAGAGAGAGCCAGAGGAGAGACAGGAGAGAGGCCAGAGAGAGACCGAGAGGAGAGAGAGCCAGAGAGAGAGCCAGAGGAGAGACCAGAGAGAGAGCCAGAGAGGAGAGCAGAAGAGAGACCAGAGAGAGGCCAGAGAGAGAGCCAGAGAGAGACAGAGAGAGAGACCGGAGAGAGAGCCAGAGAGAAGCAAGGAGAGCCAAGAGAGAGAGCCAGAGAGCAGAGCAGAGGAAAGAGGAGAGAGAGACAGAGAGAGCAGAGAGGACCAGAGAGAGAAGAGAGCAGAGAGAGACCAGAGAGAGGCCAGAGAGAGGCCAGAGAGGGAAGAGAGAAGAGGCCAGAGAGAGCCAGAGAGAGACCAGAGGAGAGGCCAGAGAGAGGACAAGAGCAGAGAGCCAGAGAGACAGAGAGAGGCCAGAGAGAGCCAGAGAGAGAGCCAGAGAGAGGCAGAGAGGAGCCAGAGGAGGAGGAGCCAGAGGAGGAGCCAGAGGAGGCACATGAGGAGCCAGAGGAGGAGCCAGAATAGGAGCCAGAGGAGGAGCCAGAGGAGGCACATGAGGAGCCAGAGGAGGAGCCAGAATAGGAGCCAGAGGAGGAGCCAGAGGAGGCAGAGGAGGAGCCAGAGGAGGAGGAGCCAGAGGAGGAGCCAGAGGAGGCACATGAGGAGCCAGAGGAGGAGCCAGAATAGGAGCCAGAGGAGGAGCCAGAGGAGGCACATGAGGAGCCAGAGGAGGAGCCAGAATAGGAGCCAGAGGAGGAGCCAGAGGAGGAGCCAGAGGAGGCCACATGAGGAGCCAGAGGAGGCGCCAAAGGAGGAGCCAGAGGAGGCAGATGAGGAGCCAGAGGAAGCAGAGGAGGCAGAGGAGGAGCCAGAGGAGGAACCAGAGGAGGCAGAGGAGGAGGAGCCAGAAGCGACAGAGGAGGAGCCAGAGGAGCCAGAGGAGTCAGAGGAGGAGGAGCCAGAAGCGACAGAGGAGGAGCCAGAGGAGCCAGAGGAGTCAGAGGAGGAGGAGCCAGAGGAGGAGCCACATGAGGAGCCAGAGGAGGAGCCAGAGGAGGAGCCAGAATAGGAGCCAGAGAGCCAGAGGAGGAGCCAGAGGAGGAGCCAGAGGGGGAGCCAGAGGAGGAGCCAGAGGAGGAGCCAGAGGAGGAGCCAGAATAGGAGCCAGAGGAGGAGCCAGAGGAGGAGCCAGAGGAGGAGCCAGAGGAGGAGCCAGAGGAGGAGCCAGAGGAGGAGGAGCCAGAGGAGGAGCCAGAGGAGGAGGAGGAGGAGGAGCCAGAGGATTGAACAACGGTTGTAATAGAAGCAACAGGACGGAGCAACAGTCTTGTGGGAAATACTGGGACTGTCAGGCTAACAATAGCTACGGCTACATGCTAACCGCTACAGCTACAGTCTATCAACAGCTACATGCTAACCGCTACAGCTACAGTCTATCAACAGCTACACGCTAACCGCTACAGCTACAGTCTATCAACAGCTACATGCTAACCGCTACAGCTACAGTCTATCAACAGCTACACGCTAACCGCTACAGCTACAGTCTATCAACAGCTACACGCTAACCGCTACAGCTACAGTCTATCAACAGCTACACGCTAACCGCTACAGCTACAGTCTATCAACAGCTACACGCTAACCGCTACAGCTACACAGTCTATCAACAGCTACATGCTAACCGCTACAGCTACAGTCTATCAACAGCTACATGCTAACCGCTACAGCTACAGTCTATCAACAGCTACACGCTAACCGCTACAGCTACAGTCTATCAACAGCTACACGCTAACCGCTACAGCTACAGTCTATCAACAGCTACACGCTAACCGCTACAGCTACAGTCTATCAACAGCTACACGCTAACCGCTACAGCTACAGTCTATCAACAGCTACATGCTAACCGCTACAGCTACAGTCTATCAACAGCTACATGCTAACCGCTACAGCTACAGTCTATCAACAGCTACATGCTAACCGCTACAGCTACAGTCTATCAACAGCTACATGCTAACCGCTACAGCTACAGTCTATCAACAGCTACACGCTAACCGCTACAGCTACAGTCTATCAACAGCTACATGCTAACCGCTACAGCTACAGTCTATCAACAGCTACATGCTAACCGCTACAGCTACAGTCTATCAACAGCTACATGCTAACCGCTACAGCTACAGTCTATCAACAGCTACACGCTAACCGCTACAGCTACAGTCTATCAACAGCTACATGCTAACCGCTACAGCTACAGTCTATCAACAGCTACATGCTAACCGCTACAGCTACAGTCTATCAACAGCTACATGCTAACCGCTACAGCTACAGTCTATCAACAGCTACATGCTAACCGCTACAGCTACAGTCTATCAACAGCTACACGCTAACCGCTACAGCTACAGTCTATCAACAGCTACATGCTAACCGCTACAGCTACAGTCTATCAACAGCTACATGCTAACCGCTACAGCTACAGTCTATCAACAGCTACATGCTAACCGCTACAGCTACAGTCTATCAACAGCTACACGCTAACCGCTACAGCTACAGTCTATCAACAGCTACACGCTAACCGCTACAGCTACAGTCTATCAACAGCTACACGCTAACCGCTACAGCTACAGTCTATCAACAGCTACATGCTAACCGCTACAGCTACAGTCTATCAACAGCTACATGCTAACCGCTACAGCTAGGAGCTAAAAAAAACTACAGGCTTAACCCCGATAATCCAAGATGGTGGCCTGTTAAAATCAGTAGCTAGTGCTCAGTGGCGCCCCCCCATGGGCACCGAAAGATTAGCGGAACTCGCCCATATTTGGGCATCGTCTGGTCCTCCTGGTTCTGTGCAGTAGACAAGCTCCCATGATGCTTTGCTCCAAATACTATCGAGCACGTGTTTGTGTCTTTCATGCACATGCACAGAGGGTTCTGACCAATCAGAGGGCAGCGTTCCAACCAATCAGAGCAGTTTGTTTCACTAAAGTGGATTTTTAGAAAACTGATTTAACAAGAGACACATTCACAGGATCCTCCGTCAGGTTCTCCGTCAGGTTCTCCGTCAGGTTCTCCGTCAGGTTCTCCGTCAGGTTCTCCGTCAGGTTCTCCGTCAGGTTCTCCGTCAGGTTCTCCGTCAGGTTCTCCGTCAGGTTCTCCGTCAGGTTCTCCGTCAGGTTCTCCGTCAGGATCTCCGTCAGGATCTCCGTCAGGTTCTCCGTCAGGATCTCCGTCAGGATCTCCGTCAGGATCTCCGTCAGGATCTCCGTCAGGATCTCCGTCAGGATCTCCGTCAGGTTCTCCGTCAGGTTCTCCGTTAGGTTCTCCGTCAGGATCTCAGCTGAGGACTGCTTGAGTTTTCACCGAGTTCTTTGGACATCTGCAGTACCACAGGTGGCTTCTGGCCCTGGCCCTGGCCCTGGACCTGGACCTGGACCTGGCCCTTGCCCTGGCCCTGGCCTCGGCCCTGGCCCTGGCCTCGGCCCTGGCCCTGGTCTCGGCCCTGGCCCTGGCCCTGGCCCTGGCCCTGGTCTCAGGCTATAGAACACTGTGTACTCGTCAT